AAGCAACACAAAAGTACCAACAAATATACCCCTTGTGAATGGAAGACTTTAGAGAGTCTATTTTACGGTACGAATAAACATCTCTAATTTTATACCCCGTGAGTACTTTACGTTACTTTCTGCAGAGCTAAAGCTACTTTTGAGTCAATTCTAATCCCTTCTTTGGGCACAGAATCTATATGACGTGAGCAACATCACTAGGATAGAGTCAACTTCTCTATCCCTTATTTGGGCACGGTGTCTATATGCCGTGGATGGAGCTCCACGGCTCTCTGCAGAGATGATTATAGGAAGCAACATCACTAAAGGTTGTTTAGTATAGTGATTTTTGGGTAATGTTTAACCGTTCTATTTAAATCGTTAAATACAGATGTTTGATAAATTTATATATTTTGAAATATCTACAAATAAAGTGTTTAGTAAAATTTTTATTTAATGATTTGAGATTAACGGATAGCGATTCGGGTGCAAACTGCTAACAGATTAAAAAAGGTAGTTTATGTAATTTTTTGTACCAAACTCCTAGTGTATTAAAATTTTTTAATTTTATTGACAAATTTATCCATTTAAAATTTTTAATTTGTGATCACATTTTTTAATTAATAATTATCTAATAAATTTTAATTTTTTTACTTTTAATAACATCAAGTGATTATAATATTTTTTTTGTAAATTAATTTATAATTAAAAAATATATTATCTTAAAAAACAAAATTTGTTAATTAGACAAAATGATTAATTTTTATTTAAAAATAATATAATTTTTTTTTTTAATAAAAATAAAAATAAGGGTGTAATTACATTATTATAATTAATTTTATTTATTTATTTTATTATTATTTTTTTTATAAAATTAATAATTTTAATAGTAAAAAATAAAAATATTTAAAAATACACTTATTTGTTTTTAAACATGTCCTTATTAGTCATTTAATGTTCAACAACAACCGCTAACTATTATATAACCAAATAGTTATATCTGTCGAATCCGTTATTTATCATTCGTTACTAACTTTTCGTTATCTGTCATTCATTATCCACTATTTACTATTTACTATCTGTTATCTGTTGAATTTTAATCGCTGTAGTAAACAGTCTCTAAATATGGTAGAGTCGACTTCTTCTTTGGGCACGAAGTCTATTTGCCGTGAATGAAGCTCCTCGGCTCTCTCTGCACTTTCTATTGAGACAATAAGCTGCAATATAACTAAGTTACTGTAGAGTTAACTTCTCTAATCCCTTCTCGGGGCAAACCAGGTGCAGCTGGACCAGAAGCTGCACACGCCTCATTTGTTCTACAAAGGTCACCACGTAGTTTAATCTGGAGAGAATTTACGCAAACATTTTATGCTTAAATGTCGGCTAAATATAACTTTTCATCTACTAATTATTATTCTATTTTTATTTTAATTTAAAAAATTTAATTTTTTTTAAATTCATATATAAATTTTAAAAATTATTTCAAATTCATCTATCTAACAAACTTCCGTTAGTTTTTTTAATAGAATCCCATGGCATACTTATGTGGCACCAATAACGTGACATATGCAGTTTTGAAAAAATATGCTTCTTCTTTTTTGTTTTGTTTTTCTTTTATTTATTTATGATAATAATGTTTTCACTTTTTCACTGAGATTTTTTTAAATTTTTTTTAAATTTTTAATAAATTTATATGTTTTAATTTTGATTAACAGCTAAAAAAATCATCATTGTTATTATTAGGATAAAATTATATCATTTTCTTAAGGTTAATGAGAATTAATCTCAACTCTTAAACAAAGTTGGAGTTTCAACTTATATTTAGAAACTAAATTTAAAAA